TAACAGGTTATAATAAATTTCCGTTTCATTATACTGACCCTGTAATTAATTTAGTGCAATTATAAATAACAAATTAATCTTTGCTAAAGTAGTAATTTACAGAAATGTTAATAAGCCATTTGCAATATCTTCAGCTCGTGCTGACGTTTCTGGTACAATTATTCTTATGAAACCTAATCCTAGTAAAGAAACGTAATTCTTCTCTTTTCTAAAAACTTTCAATACTAATTAATATTGAAGTTTATATATATATATATATATATATATATTATATATAATATATATTAATTTATTTCCTAAACAGTATTGATTAATTGATTATATTATCTCCTAAGTTTAATTAAAGTAGAATTATTTTAAAAGTGTGCATCCATACTGGTAAGTTATATTTTGAAAGATGTTTTGAAGTAATTTTAAAGCAAAATGTTAATAATGTTTTAACGGGGACTGGAGTTAAATCATCACGAAGAATAATATTTCAATTGTAAAAGGAAAAATTAAAACATGTAATTATTGTCATTGATCGGAAATTAGTTGACTTTTCAAGGGGAACAAACCAACTCCCGTTCAATGAAAAATAATTGATAAAAATACGTAAATACGAAAGTGTTTCGTCTTTACTCGAGTTATAAGTTAAAGTCAAACCGGCAATTCTAGTCAGGCCAAATATTTCCGCGAATAGTTGCTACTCAAAGAACTTATTCTCATGAAGCATTTTAGTCAATTCAATTTGGAGTAAAAATCAATTACTGTAGAGAAATCCTGTAAAACTCGAGTAACCGTCCCCGACACTATCATCTTTATGTATTTGAGTACTATATTATTTGTAGAAATTAAACATTGGAAATTGTCATTATGAAATCGAATTCAAAGTAAAGTTGAAATAAACATAGAAGATTATAAAAAAGATAAATAATGCAAACTTTGTAAAAACAAATCAAAGAAAACATAAAAATAATATAAAAATAATATAGAAAATATATAAATAAGATTAGTGAATGTACATGAAGATATAAAGGCCAGAAAGGTATTAAGTAACTTACATTCTTTCTAGTGGGGGAGTTGGCAAAGTGTTCTCTTCGTGTCTGACTCAGAAGTGTAGGGTGTCCGAAAATTCTTAGCGGCAGTAGGGGCTTTGAATAATATCAGTCGGTAAGACTTGGGTGAAGTAATTTATGGTAGTGGGTGGGACTTGGAATTCTTGAGGGATGTATTTTGTGGAGTTCTTATCTGAGAGAGACCATCTGTTAAGATTTTTTTGAAAATACTAGTGAATGGAAATTAATTAATTTCTGGCTAATTGTCGTGTCGCAATGATTAAGAATTTAAGAAAGGAAAAAGGCATTTTCGCTGTCCAAGAGCTAATAGACAGTCTAAAGGCAGGAAATAGGCCCATTTTTTTAGTAACAGTATAGTAACAGTATATGTCTGAAGACAATTAGCTTTTTACAATATATACAATTGAGTAATTACACTATATACAAATCTTTCAACTGACAGTCATCCAACTTATACCGCCTTCTCAGGTTTAGGAATAAATTATCATATCCCTATCAGTTAAATGATTTAGAGTGAGTATTTAACGCCTGCTCTTTTAAGGCAATGGTTGATAAATTGAAAGGGAATTAGATTATTTTTGAGAATTTTGATAAGGATCAAAATTTCGCGTTGTAAATCTATTGTATCTGTGCATATAGTTTTAATTCGTTGTATTTGATTAATTATAGTATTGTTAATTACTTTTTTGGATATGTTGGAGTTCCAATTTATTAATTTGTTAGTATTGAAATTGAAGTTTCTTGTTTTGTCAAAAAGTAAAATTTTTTTGTAGTTAATGATTTGAAGATCTAGAAAGTCTATGCTATTTTGTAAATTATTAGTTTTATTAAGTTTAAGACAATTCGGATAAATGTCGGAGTTTTCAATTTTACCAAAATTATTAATTGTAATAAGGTCATCAATATATCTGTAGGTGTGTTTGTAGTAATTTAACTCTTGTGGTTGTAGATTTTTTGGAAGTTAAATTCTTTGACAAATAAAAAGATATTACAGATCGAGGTGCTGGAATGTAAGCCCATTGGCAATCCTCTGACTTGTTTAAAAAGTTGATTTTGAAACTTGATGTAGTTATGAAAAAGTGTGCATTTTAGGTAGGTTTTCCATTTGTCAAGAGTCATGATATTGAGTATATTAGGGAAAAGTTTTGGTAGATCAAGTAGACTGGTATAGATTTCTTCTAGAGGAAGTGAGGTATATAAGTTTTCAAAATCATAGCAGTTAATGTTTTGGATGTTAATGGTATGAATGGTATTAATGACAGGAGTGTTATTATGAATGATCCAGCAATAGTTATGATTAGTGTTACAATCATTGAAAATAAATTTACAGATTTTATTAAGTTGAATTGAAAAATAATAGTCTATATTTTTCTTGTAATTATTAGTTCCATTAGCTATAAATCTAAATTTTAATGGTGTTTTATGGAATTTGGGAATCGCATAAAGATTAGTAAATCTGTTGTAGTTTGCATTGAAAGTAATATTGAGTTTCTTATGAAAAGTTTTAATCCTGTTTATTATAGATGTTTCTGTAAGGTTGGCTAATTGATAAGTAGTTGCGTTGAGAAGTTCTTTATGAATAATCTCAGTGTAGAATTGTTTTCATATAATGCTAAAGTTATTAGTTGCTTTATATATATATATAAACATAATCTTCATATATATATGAAGATTATGCTAACATGGTTTCGATCAAAACGCTAATCCTCACGAATTTTAAAGTTAAATACAGTAGAAGTCCATTAGTCCGGCATACAACAGTCCGGAATGACCGATAGTCCGGCATCGCTCCGGAAAATTGTAAAAAATTTTGGTTTTCTCCAAAAGTGTGTCTTTAAAGCAAATAAAACCGCTCGAGAGCTATTCGGAAGTTTTCGGGGTAGTTCGAGATCATCCGGAAGCGCTGGTATTGTTTGGAAACAATTAGCGGCCGGCTAGTCTCAGCTGTCACAACAAATTCAGGTGCAGTGCAGCTCCGTTAATCAATCACGAAGCGTCTTCGCCATTTTTTTGTGCGTTGTTGTTTTGTGTCCTTTCACATCGCAGTAAACGTAACTTTTGAAACTGTTTATAAAAAAAGTGATTTTCGTTCTAACTGTACAGTGACCATGTTTTCAAAACCTAAGCCTTCGAGTTCAAAAGGAGAGAAACGAAAACACGTAACACTGACTCTCAATCAGAAACTAGAAATCATCAAAGGGCTAGAAAAAGGCGAGAATAGAAATGTTTTAATGAATGAGTTTAATATTGGCTCATCAACTATTTATGACATTAAAAAACAAAAAGATGAACTAATGAAGTTTGCTTCTCAATCGGTAACAACTGAAAAATTGGCTTCTAGACAAACATTAAAAAAAACCAAAACTGGAACAGCTAGATAGTGTATTGTTCAAATGGTTTAGTGCAGTACTTTCTGAAGGAAAGCCGGTAACAGGGCCAATGATTGTTGAAAAGGCAAAGAAATTCGGCCAAGATTTAGGAGTTGCTGAAAGTGAATGTAATTATTCTGATGGTTGGCTCAGAAACTTTAAGTATCGGCATGGAATTCGAAGATTTGATGTAACTGGAGAAACCCTTTCAGCAAACCAAAACTCTGCAGAAAAATACAAAGACGAGTTTGAGAAAATAGTGGCTGATAATGATTTAACACCTGAACAGATTTACAATGCTGATGAAACAGGGCTATTGTGGCGATGTTTACCAACATCTACTAGCTACAATGCTTCAGAAATTATTGATTTCCATATCATTAGAAATAAATTTTATACTAAACGCCAAAACTAATAAACAAACAAAAAAATCAGCGTTATATTTACAAAATTACTGTGAAAATTTTGTAAATATAACGCTGATTTTTGTTGTTTGACTTCTGAATTAGTATTTATTCGGCGTGTTATTGTGTCTTAATTAAACGCCAAAAGTCAAGAAAACAAAAAGACATTCGTGACTTTTTTAAATCTAAGTGAAATATGTTTTACAGTACGTGTACATACATTATATGAAATGTAAAATAAACTTTGTTGTATGTATTTGCATACTGTATTTTTAGTTTAATTATTAACCTAATTGTTCTTATAATTACCGCCCGATAGACCGGAATTTTCGGTAGTCCGGCACCGAGCCGGTCCCGAACGTGCCGGATTATCGGACTTCTACTGTAACAACAATGGTAACAGCTACATTTACCAGCTCATCATTTCTAGAGAATAAACATCCAGACTGTGTTTGAAGTTTTGTACATTAATGGCGAAAACAAATCTCACGTATGTTTATGCGACCATTTTGAATAATAAATTTCGACACGGTCACAAATTAGAAGCAAAATATTACCTAATCGTGCAGGGTAGAATCCTGCAGAATAAATTTCAGTACAAATTAATAAACTTTGAGAGAGAGATATGTGAAGACTGATGTGATTTAAACTTAAACCTGGCGACCTAATTATTTATTACTTAGTTCAGATGCAGTATCGTAAAAGTAAGTTTATAGAAGTAAAGCAATTCAACTATTACTTTTTTTGCAAGTGCATATGCATTTCAAAAATTAAGCTTTTCTCACAAACCTCAGCAACGGGAGAAAGCATTGCTACATAGAAAAGTTTTAACAAAAAAGAGCTGATAGGCAAATTCAGCTCCACGTAAGGCCAGATTATGACGGAAGTTGGAGCGATGGGAAAGAATAATTCTATTGTTCCTATTAAATATACATACAAATTATTTCGAGAAAAATTTATTTAAAAAAAAATAATTTTCCAGTTATTCGCAATAGCAAAAACCTCAGGAATTAAGTTTTAAAACCTTTACTTTGATGAAGAATGAGAAACAGAAGCTTCAGGGTATAAAAAGCTTTCTGTTTTTAAAGGAATCTTTGCACCACTAGGTATTCCCGAAGAAAGAAGTCATGATAAATATTCTACAAAAATTAAAACAAATTCTTACAAACCTGGCGAAATGACTGACACTTGCTTCAGGGAATGGTGTTGACATGCCGGTGAATGAGGTTTAAGGATCCCCTCAGAACAGTATATTGCCTCTTCGCTGACCCTCACGTAATCGGGCTTGCAATTGTAGTCAATTGAGGACCCATGAGATATTGTCAATCCTGATCTATAACCACCCAAATAATGACCTTGAGGTATGACAGGAAGTTCACACGGCTCTAAATAAAGAAGGGGAGAGTTTTTCAATAAATTATATAACGAGAATACAGAAGAGAGTATTTCTCGAACTTTATTTGGCACACAAATTTGGGCAAAGAATTGCTATAAGTAAGTTTTTGGGATTTGATAGGACTATTTTAATAGCTAAATACAAACTTATTTAAATTTGTTAACTAGGCTAAAATGTGAATATTATTATCAGTACTATTCCTTTAACGTTTAATATTTCATTTTCTATGTGTATTCAAGTAAGAAAAAGTTTGAATATGAGAAATCACAGCTACCTTAAATAGTAAGTTTTTTTTCATTTTATCTTCATATTTTGCTTATACTGGCTTGGCTGTAATGGAGAAGAATACGCAAAAGCCTGAATTAAAACTTGTAACAGAACTATTAGGATGTAACCGAACTATTTTATCGTACGCTATCTAGTAAAAACGAAATCATTTTATAGTTAGTTGATCTCCAGCTGTTACGAGGATAGGTTCTCCAATATTATGCCATTTTGGTGTGCTTCTGTTTTGATGTATATTTTCATTGTAATTATTTCTGTTCTCTGTTAATAACCACTTTTAGAAATAGCCGCCGGCGTTTGTGTTTACAGAAGTCGCTTAATAACTAAAGGTTAAAAAAAAAGAACAGATTTGATCGCAAGTCTTTAGGTGAAAATCAAGGTTTTATATATATTTTCGTAGTACTGAAAATCATAAGACAAACATTACATTCTAAGCATCAGAAATTTATTTTCAGAATTTTTAACATTAGTAAAGTTATAAAGTTAAGCTGCTGAAAACTAATTTAACTACGGTTTAATTTACGGTCGTTCTTTCGTGCTTGGCTGACGGCAGTAAGCTTCGTCCGTTCATCATTTTTTTTAAAAAAAACTTTACCGAAAAACGTTGTGTTTCCATCTGGTGTGCTGGTTCGTGCCCATGAAAAGGGATGGATGGATGCTGACGGAACAGTCGATTGGCTTAAAAATGTGTGGGATAAAAGACCGGGAGCAACTTTCAAAGGGAGGCAACATTAAAAAGCTCGATATTACATTAATTGCTCAGTGGGTTAAAGATGCTTGGAACGAAATACCCTCTGAAATGATTATAAAATCTTTTAAAAATGCTGTATTAGCAACGAACTAGACGGCACAGAAGATGATGCTGTTTTTGAAAGTGAAAATGACGACGAAGGCTCTAGTAGTGATTGTAACGATACAGAGTTCGAGACTGAAAATATGTATGATGACGAGCCAATGATGACAGAAAAGTTCTATGAAATGTTTGGCGAATCTGACCATGAATCGGACGTTGAAGGATTTTGATTTTGTTTATATACCAAGGTATTTTTTATCGTATATTTACTTTTTTTCTCAGATGATTTTGAATAAATGTAGTGCTTAAAAAAATTTTCGAAGTTTCTCGATCGGAATTCTCGGAAGTGGGAGGTCGACTTATACGCGGGTTTCTTATTTGCTACGAATTTTTTATGTCGAAGTGGGGGGGGGTCGACTTATACGCGGGTATATACGGTAATTTCTGATTTATATTTAAATAAAATATTTGATCTCTTAATGTTCTATGAGAGAAAATTTCAATCAAGAAGCGTGAAAAATAAATGTTAGTAACTATTTTCTCGTTACTATTTTATGTCGACATAAAAATTCAAATAGAAAACATTTCTGAATGACAACAATTTATACTCCAAACTGATGAATAAACAATATTGCTTTTTAATCTAATGGCGGGTACAAGTTGTCATAGACGTTGGCCAAGGCCGGAAGCGCTGGGACTTTATTATGTAGGCACTTAATAAGTGGGCCACCATTGCCTATAAACAGAAAATAAGGCAGAATCGCACGATTAAAAGTAAACATGAAATTACAGTGGAATTTTACCAAATACATACCATGAAGTCAGAGAGGTTTTGGATATTTTGTAAAATGCTTTGTAAGCGCAAACGTTTCTCATTGAAACACTATTTAGAGGACTCGCCATTTTAATTACAATCTTTGCTTGTCAGATTAAAAAAAATTGATTCGCCAGTAAGTAAAATCTTAAGTAGAGGAAAGTAAGTAGTTTAGTAAAGGAAAAGTTTAAATACACGTTGGAAAAATAAAAGAAAGAAGAAATGTTTGATGCATACAGTTTTCTGAAAGAGCATTTTACCTTTGTAAAAAGTGAATTCGAAGTATATTCTTGCTTCTCAGTACTCAAACACGACATTTATAGTCTGCCAAAAATGGTAGTAGCCAAATTTAACCCAAAAAATACATAAACACGATACCTTATGTTTTATACAAATTAATTTAACGTACGTTTTCAAAGAATGATTTACACTCACTTCCAAAAATTAAGCACGGAGAGGAAAATGCTAATTTCTGGAAGCCAATCAGAATTGAAGAGGATGCAATTCTCTGCAGAGGTAGATGGAAGTATGCAAATATGTTAGGTAACAGCCAATTGCGCTTTCATGTAAAGAAATATGCAAAAAAGGCAGTCTTATAAGAAGCCAGCTTTACGAAGTGTTACAGAAGTTGATTGTAAGTGCTGATAGAAGGTGTTTAAAACTTTCGTAAAATTTGTTTTCAAGACATGCGCGTTTCTATGACTTCTAGAAGACGAATGGAAGATTTTGAGCGCTGGCGTACTGTGGGGCGCATTGAAGCAGCACAGTCGATCACAGATGTTGCTCTTTTCTTCGTTCATCATTCTGTAATTTCACGTTTATGAAAACAAATCCAAACCACACAGACAGTTGTCCGAAGGCCCGTAGCCGGTCGCCCAAGGGTTACAAACCCCGCGGAAGATGGATATATTGCTATTGTAGCCAAGCGGAATCGCAGAGCGACCTCCACACGTGTGACATCTATGGTTACAGCGTCCGTTGGTAAGGCGATATCCGCAGCTAGTGTACGCCAAAGATTACATATGAGTGGACTGTACGCCCAGGTACCTCGAGTTTGTGTTCCTCAATCCGTCCAATCAAGAGGGGCACGATTACAGTGGTGCCAGGAACATATCAATTGGAATGTGTCTGACTGGGGCAATGCCATGTTTACTGATGAGTCAAGATTTTCTCTGGAGCCAGATGACAAGCATATAAGGATATGGTGTAAACAACGAACACGCAATCAGTCCCAAAACATCACCGAACATCACGCATTCCGAGGCGGAAGCATTATGGTGTGGGCAGGGATTTCATTAGGATACCGCACCGAGCTGCACATCTTTAAACAGCGTTCTTTGACGGCTGTCCGGTATCGAGATGAAATCCTATAATCCATTGTGAGATTATTCGCTGCAGCCAGTTGGCTCTACTTTTGTTTTAATGGACGATAACGCACGTCGCCATAGAGCTGACATCGTCGATGACTATCTGGAGAGTGAAGGGATTACGCTTATGGTGTGGCCAGCATATTTGACGACCTTAATCCCATTGAAAATATTTGGGATGCTCTCGGCTGTGCTGTATCTTCCCGTTTCCCACCTCTAGCCACTCTTATTGAGCTGGAAACTACTCTACAAGAAGAATGGTGATTGCTTAATTCTGCGGTGGTTGACCATCTAATTGAAAGCATGGTCACAAGGTGTTAACTTTGTATACAGATGAGGGGGATCACATACCCTATTAATGTCCTTTTTTTCATTTTATGCTGTTTATTTTCACTTTTTACTTAATTCTGTTTAAGTCTCCAGTATGTCATTATCTGATAACTTACAAAAATTTAATATTGTTTTCATTTCTGCATATAATTATTGATTTTGTTTTATGAATAAATATATATGCTACTTTTCTGCTGAATTTTGTGTCAATCAAAGTAGTATTTGTTGATTTTTTTTGCATTTTACATCTTCGTGCTTAACTTTTGGAAGTTTGTGTCAACAGGGATATGTCCAAAGATGTCCCTTTATTTTAAATATTATTTTATCTGTCTATAATGAAAATCTCCAATAAAGCTTAATGTTGTCAGATCATCAAAGACCTTGTCTGACAAGGTGTTATACCTTCTCAGATCATCAATAAATAATTCTTTAAAATATTTGCCTACATTAAAAATAACCTCCAAATATATTGTTGCATGTATACGAGTTCGTAATATATTGAATGTGTTATGGAAAATTGTTATGTATTATTTTGTTGTGTACAATTATTATGTATTATTTTACTGTTCATAAGTTATTCTTAGTATTTATATTAGTTTACTGTGAACAATGAATTTGTAATGTTCGTGTTTAAGAATTATTGTATAATAATTAGTATTGTTTGCGATTCAGAAAAAAGGGCGAGGCTTGTTACTTCCGTTTCCCACGAAGCGGTCAGTTGCGGCCAGCTGCATTTTCCTCTTTTCGCGGGGGTTGAAAACATGTGTTTTGCTCGTTCAGAGGCGAATAGTTCTAAGGGGCGGCGATTTTTGGACAGAGTTAAATGTTGGAAACATTCTTCTGTTGCGTGGGAAAGGAAGGAGGGTCTGTCATTTTGAGAGAAAGTTCTGAATTTCTGCAAATTCTTGAGGCTATTTATTGCTTTTGTTCCAGTGGCTAGAGGGAGTCCAAGTTTTGCTTAAGATTGGCTAAATTTTAATTTTATTAATATTTCACCCAATGGTGAATTAGAGGCGTTTCTTTGTGAGTGTCAACCGAGTTTTCTTAAGCCGTTGCACGAGAGGCAGGAGAGGTTTTTGACTGAAAAAGAGATTTTAGCAGATTTTTCAGAATCTTAGCGGGTTTGATCCCTTGACGATGGCCCCTTTGGGGCCAGCCGCGGTCAGTGATGTGTTGCTGCACAGATCAGTGAGCGATAGCGAAATTTTTGTGCGATTTCTGACCAACTCTTCTGAGTGGGAGCAGAGATAAAGGAAACGCGGCGACCTTCCGGGGGTCGACCGTGGGTTACTGTTCAGGGATATTACCGCGTCCCCTTGGTTCTGGCTGCGAAGAACTTTTTGAGCCCGTGCGGATTCTCATCGGGATAAACGGCGGCGAAGTGTTTTTCCTGTCCTGCG